ACACATCGAACTCTATAAAAGGGGAAAGATTAGGGTCGAAGTTATCTTGAATTAGGAATGTTTTCATTTTTACTAAAGATTGTAACAAATCGTGTTCAAGTAGGATTCATGTTTAGACTCCGGGTATAAATATCAAACCCCGGCTACTGTAAAAGAACATCAACCAATTAAATACAAAGTCAATTACTTTTTTGGCTCCGCCCACCCCTTAGGAGTAGGAGTAGAGTAGATCTCGGTGAGTTCTTTAGCAAGTACGGCTGCATCGATCCGGTCGACCTCCACTGCTTGTCTGTAAGTACCGTCATGGTTTATACCTCTGTTCGTATGGCTGCATCGATCCGGTCGACCCTCACTGCGACTCTGGTATAGACTAGTTATCGACTCTTATCTAATTCAAGTATGGCCTGTGTGATTCAGTCTCACACCCCACTGCTTGAATTAGATCAAGGTCAAGTTATCGGCTCTACCTTAGCATGGCAGTCTTTGGTAGATTCATTAAGTTACCGATATTGATTATTGCTTTCATTGTTTATCTAATTACAGCAATATCACTCTGCCCGATTGAGATTGATTTGGATCGGCCTTACATCTTATTTAACTCATCGTTTGCTAATCTAAAACTGATCTAATCTACATCTTAAGCGATGAATTATGTTTTTATCGGCTGTTTTGTGTCAATCTTAATCGTGCATAGCGTGCGGTTAAGGCATGTCCGATCTTGAGTAGATCTATTAGTTAATGAAAACCATTCCATGGCCCATCATCATGGTTTGTGGGATTCTGCCTCTCACCCCACTGTTGGCACCGTGGAGTGGGGATCGTTAGTTGGTAGACCCGTTCCTGAGAAGGCATGACCTTAACTGTGCGCTATGCCTGAATCGGCTGTTTAGCCGATATCGAATGCTTTCACGGACAGTTTGCATTACGAGGTCGTTTAAGTAGAGATAAGTTGAAAGATATGTTAACCCCATGATCTCGTTATTGTATTACGGTCTGTATGATTCTGCCTCATGCCCCACTGATATTAGTAATGAGTTAGGGTCGTCGAGTCTATTGTTGTTTCTATGGCCTGCATGATTCTGCCTCATGCCCCACTGGTCATGGCGATAGATGAGATCTAACATGTTCATTAGATTTATCTTTATTAAATGGTTAAGTGATGTTGAATTATTTCTTTATATAAAAAGGAGTTCGGTTACTTATAATCATTGGCTCAGTATAAACCGATCAATGTTGATATCTTATTGCCATTGATTAATATTTGCTTAAATAACATTTAACCTGAATGATAACCGATTCTTCTTATATAACCCCATGAGCTTTAACCGATTCATTCTTGTGAAGATGCTGGGATCGACTATTTAGTCGATCTCCTCTCATATCGGCTCTCAGAGCCGCACATTCGAGACTGTCTGGCAACACCGACATGTTCCACCCTTAATTACTGATGAGCTTTCTCTCCTTGTCAATTGCAGGGTCAAATTGACTGGCACGTCTCGGGAGGATTGCGCAGGATCGACCACCCTTGCGCTGAAGCTAGGCGGATCTGCTCCATCGAGCGGACCCTTTTGGCTTGCTGCGTGTGTCCTCGGCACAGAGACAAAAATTTTGTGTCGACGGTTACTCTTGGAGGTGAAGCCTCCAAGACAGCTAGCCATCGCCCGACGAGCTCCCGTGCTTGTGGTGAGCCGCGGAAAAGTTTGTATTACCCCAATTGATCTAGTGGAAACCCCTCATCTCAAGAGTTCACTCTCTTGACTTGAGAACGAGAAAGGGTTGCAAAACCCTAAGCCTTAGTGGCAAGCCTTAACAAATGTGGACATAGGCAAGCTTTGGTGGCGAGCTGAACCACGGGATAAATCCTGTGTCTTGTGTTTTTATGTTTTGAATTCCATTATTTGTGTTCCACTCGATCTACTTGGTTATGAGTGTTTGTGAGTGCAGGTACTTAGTGAACTCGTCACTGGACATCTCTACCAAGTTTGGTTTGTGTTGAACTCTCTGCTTGAGTTTGTTTTTAAACAGGCCTATTCACCTCGTCAGCCTAGGAGCGGCGGGAGCAGGAGCCGTGCTCCATGTCAGAATTGGACGGCGTGACCGCTCTAAGCAGTGAAGCGTTTGGCGGTGGACGCCGGGACTGGAGTGGTCGCCGGCGTGAGGCGGTGGACACCGGGACCGGAGTGGTCGCCGGTGGCCACCGACGGGCGAAGCGGGGCGCTCTCTCACCTAGAGAGAGAAACCCACACGCATCGCATAACCCTTGCGCCCAAAGCTTCAAGGGTGTTCGGAAATTCAACCCAACACTAGTCTTGCGGACGATTGGATTATTGCTCCAAAGTCTGAAGTAGGCAAGCCGGCTCAAATGAAGGCCAAGCGTCAAGCAGTGAGCTATACTTCTGGCAATTTCTTGGCAACCCAACTGTCCATTTGAACCACATGAGTATGTATATTGTATGAGTATAGGGACTACTACAAATTTTGCATGTAAGCCGTTAAATAGCTAAAGATGTACTGTACCTGCTAGTCTGTTCAGTGACTTTACCTACCAGTAATGCATATGTTATGTTCCTTTGTCACTGCTTAATTTTCATTTTAGTTTTACCTTCATTTGTTTTTTTTTTATAGACACGCATCTCCCACCCAACTGGAGAGGGATGAGCAGTGCCCTATAGTTATTTTTCGGAAAGCAGCAGTACCCAAAGTTATTTCTCTCGTAGTTACAGTAGGTAGACTCCATACTGTTTTCATTCCTGCAGCACGGTTCGCTGCAGATGATTCTCAACTTTTTGTATCGGAATGTGAATATGTGAAACATTGTTTCATCTTTGTGGAAAAAAAAATATATCATCAGAAAATGTGGGTGCTAAAAAGTCACAATCCAACCTTTGGCAAAAACTAGCATAGATATAGTGCAAACACAGGAATAGAAATATTAATCTGCAAAATACGTCTATAAAAACATGTACTAGCTGTTGGTACAAAATCACTTCATTATAAAATACTGTTTGATAGAGCTCTTGCATTCGGCCTAAAATTGCTCTGGAACTCTTGCCAAACGGACCCTTAATAAGTAGCAAGGCCAATCATCATTGTATAGGTAAACATATGCACGAATAAGTAAAACTTTAGTAACAAATACATGCATGCTGCCCCAGATATGAACTAATAGCGTCGACGAGAACTGCATCAAGTGTCTCCAGCTTCCAACTGACAAACCTCCCCTAGTAGGAGTATAGTAGATAGAAATGCGGAAGAGATGAGAATGACAAGAAGGGGGGAAGGGGAAGGATTCTGCGCACCTGGCAAGAACACGCACACGCTGCGACGACGTGGAAGCAGGGCCCGTCGCCGGCTGGCGAACTTGCTGCGTTTCTCCAGATGCAGCTGCAACCTGCAAGCCTGCAACGCCTGGAGGGCGTTGGCGGCCGCGGAGAGGTCCTCGCGCTCGCGGTCTGCGTGCGGAAATATTGTACTCGCCGGTCGCCGCTACCAGCAGCCCCCGGGCGGCCGGGTGTGCACGCACGTTCTCTTTTTGTATTCTGCCCGTCAGGCCCAATTGGTTGTTGCTGCTGCTGCTGCGGAAATCAGTGTCCGTTCCACCATTGGTCCGCCCATAACAATGCTCGGCCCGTGATTCTAGGAAGTACGCCTCGCTTAATCAGTGTCCGATGATGCGGTTTGAGCGCACTGCGCAGTAGCTAGCCAGCTAGGTTTAAGTTTTCTTCGAGGATGTTTCATCTTTTTTTTTTAAATAAACAAAAAATATATTTCTTCTTATTGGAAGGAAAGAAGTCTAAATCATACTCTAGGCAGCATGCAAGTTATCGACAAGACAGTTACAGTGACTAATCGACATTATTGAGTGATACCGCTCTCCTTTCTACAGCAATAACTTTTTATCTTTAGGTTGGATAAGTTAGTTACAGTGACTAATCGACACTAACAGATACAGTTCTCCTTTCTACAGCAATAACTTTTTATCTTTAGGTTGGATAATAAGTTAGTTACAGTGACTAATCGACATTGAGTGATACAGTTCTCCTTTCTACAGCAATAACTTTTTAAACAGAAGCAAGATATCGACATCAACACTAAAGTTATAACTCTAGAAAAAGGAATAGCTACCTTACTACCTGGAAGCAACTTTACTTGCTCCCACGGTTCATCTCAATGGAGTATATGTTAGCACAGGACACGTATTGCTGCTCTTTCCATTCTAAACTATAAGTCGCTCTGATTTTTTTTTATATCCATTTTGCTATGCATCTAGTTACATCTTAATGTAGCAAATTCTATGTATAAAAAAATCAAAGCGACTTATAATTTAGAATGAAGAGAGTATATTATAATATTACTATGGAGAAAAAACCAGTTCGAGGCCGTTCCAAACTTCCAATCAGACGAGGAACAGTTTACAGCAACCAAGGTGAAAGCCCACGCATTACAGCAATACATGTAACAGGTATCACGTCTAAATCAACAAGCAAGCTAACGACTGGAACAAACCACCAGGTAAAACTACTGGCCAAAGACACATGCCTAACTAAGAAGGACAGCTTCTTCCCTACAGCAAACAACTTCTTCAGGTCTGCCCAAACTGATCCATCAGTTTATGACGAATTTTATTAAGACAAATGTAACCAGTGACGGCACATATTTTATGATGAACTTTATATAATACTCCCTTCGATCAAAATTATAGGTCGTTTGGGACGCAGGGGGGAGTAATCTAGGTGCATAGCATAAACCAAAATGACGTATAATTTAAGACGGACGGAGTAACAGATATGGTTTTATTGGCGTGACAAGACACCACAGACTATGGTTTTTAACAAAGTTATACAAACGGATTGTATACAATAATTTATTTCCGGTAAGATGATTAGATGAAGTCCATGTTTTCCCTCCATCATCACTGAAGATGAATGCTCACCATGGGTGGTATGATCTCCAACCAGCAATACCGATAAAATGAGTTGACATTGGCATTCTGCAGTGGCTCATGCTGTGCTCGCAAAGGTGAATCCAGTCCCTTGCAATGCATCCTCGACAATCTTGTCTAGCCTCTGCGCCATCTCCGGCGTCATGTGATTGCTCCAGTCCCCAGCAACTCCCATCCTGAAGAAGCTTTCGTTCTTGATCCCCATCCTAGTGCTTCCATTTCTGTTCACCTCCATGTCCCTCAGCTTGGCCAGGCTACACAGCTCCACGATGGCGCTCACAACCCCGCCCTCCTCCTCCTCCTTGGAAAATTCACAGCCCATGAACCTTGCTAGCTTCTTGACGTGACTCTCCGGCGCAAGGAGCATCTCCTCGTACCTAAGGAACAACACCCTGCTGTCTGATCTCCTCACGCTCTCCTCCCAGTACTGGAGGACATGCTGCCATTAAATATCAGGACAGCGGCCTTGGCAGAATAGCTCGAATGCCTCCTGGATCGTGAATGACTGCGCATCAACTCCCCACGCCGGCGACGCCTTCCTCGTGAACAACCAGTAAGAAACCAGAGCATCCTTGGGTTCCCGGCAGATGTATACGATCCGGCACCCTGAGTGCTCACCTGTGATGCTGTTGGGTAGCAGGGAGTAGGGAAGGTGCGTAGCCAGCACACGGGGGGGAGGAAGCGCATCAAACTCATTCCCTGTGTTCATACCAATTTCGAGGAACTTGACGCAGTCATGAGGGCCGCAATGGCGCAGCGGATGGTCGTCGTCGCACGGCGGATGTGTGGAACGCTTCAGCGTTGCGAAGGCTAGGGCCTTAAGCCAAGTGGTTCCAGACTTGGGGTAGCTTGCAAGGAACACGTCGGTGGGTCTCGGCTGGAACCTGGAATGGACGTTCGGGACGCCTATCTTCAATGTTGTTACCTCTGGCACCCAGAAGCCAGCGTAATGGCGGAGCCGGAACGGTGGCCACCTGATCTCCAGGGGCAGCGAAGGGATGATCTTGGCTACGTTGGCGTGATGCATTGTCACCGGCGTTGCACCTTCTTGTGCATCGTCCTCCGACTGCCTGAAAGCCATCGTGTTACTGGCCTACTGCTGTATCTCAAAAGAGACGTCACCTCCAGTTGCTTGTTTCAGCCTGCATATGGAGCCGAGGGTGCACAAAACGGATGTAATCAGACAACCTGATCTCAGCTTAAAATAGATAACAGCAAGATGTTAACTGAGATATAAAAGAGCAACGGAGGCACACATAATCATCACCATCTGATCAGACATGATTCAATGAACATTACCACTGAAATCGATTGCATTGCAAGTCACCTAACAGTGGAGCAATACTACAGGTCCAAGTCACATTAAGAAGTACCCAGAAAGAAACAAGGCTGCACTCCGAACTGCTCAGGAAGGATCCTATCCTAGGATATAAAGCTTCAAAGGTGTTCGGAAATTTAGCACAACACTAGTTCTTGCAAAAGATTGAATTATTGCTCCAAAGTCCGAAGTAGGCAAGCCGGCTCAAATGAAAGGCCAAGCGTCAAGCAGATCAGTGAGCTGTAATTCTGGCAATTTCTCAACAACCCAACACTGTCCATTTGATTCAACCTTTGCAAAAACTAGCATATATATAGTGCAAACACAAGAATAGAAATCTTAATCTGCAAATACGTCTATAAAAGCATGTCCTAGCTGTTGGTACAAAATCACTTCACTATAAAATACTGTTTGATAGAGCTCCTGCATTCAGCCTAAAAGCTTCTCTGGAACTTTAACAAATAGACTCTTTTTTTTTTTGAAACAATGGCAGGAGTTCTGCCGCTCAATTAAGATGAAAAAATATTATGTACAAGAAGGTTAGCCGGACGAGATGCCAAAACGCATCCGAAGGGCTAACCAACCCACACGACGCAGCTGAGCACAAACACGACACACTACCATGGGTCATCGTTGCCGAGCATGGCAGCAAAGCTGCCAGCAGCTCCGACTTCCCATGACAGGCCACCCACTAGCCATCCACCGACGGCCCGCCACCGGTCATCGTTACCAAGCTCAAACACCCCACGAAGAGCAACTCTGACTTCCAATCACGGACCCGCACCACACAACAATAATTAGTGCTAGAGGGAAAGCACGACACCCCCAACAGGGAAGCGGCGCCACCGGCGTCGCCATCGCCATGGCTTTCGCCCAAGAACCCTCTAGCACAAACATCAGGCCGAGAAGCTCGGACCCCTGCCAACCAGCACCGCCATCGCCGTTGTCCCGCCGCCCCACAGAAGCCCATTTAGAAGGGCATCGACGCGCCGGCTGCACGTAGCAGCCGCATAGCTGCGTCGGCCGCCACCCCTTCCGAACAGGCCACGTGAGAGCGAACGACTCATTGCTCGCGTAACACCGCCGCGAGACGCCGAGGCCGTCAACGACCACCGTCGCTTGCTTCGGCACCACACCGCCGTCGCTGATGACAATGCCGCCAACAGCCACGGCGGCGATGCCCCCACCATCACGGGCGCCGCCCTTGCCACTGGGGCACCGGATCCAGCGCTCCATGCCGACGCCGCTGCTTAGGCCCGCGCCATGACGAAGCCGCTCGACTAGCCGCCACCCGGCTCTCGCTGACCCCGCACGCCAAACCAGCCGCTGCGGGCGCCGCCATGCGTAAGCGCCGCGGGCACGCATCTCGCCGCCCGCCTGCGCGCCGCCGGCCAAGACGCCACAGAGCCCGCGAAGACGACACGAGAGCGCCGCCGGTCCGTAGCTGTGTCCCCACTCCCGCACATCACCACCGACGGCCACAGCCAACTCCACGCCAGGGAAGATGGTTTCGATCGAGGGGGGGCAGATCCGTCTTGGCGCGGCAGATCCCCGGCGCGGCTGGCCGCTGCACGCACGGGAGTTCCACCAGAGAGAGATATATATAGAGGAGGAGGAGGGAGGAGAAAGAACCCCCAGCCGCCGCCATCCTCCGGCGTCGAGCTTCGGCGGCGGCCAGGCAGTGGAGGCGTGGGGGCGGGGCCTACCGGCGGCGGGAGGAAGCGATGCCCGAGTCGTCCCCGAGGAGAGAGCAACGCGGGGGCCGAACCTTGGTTGATCAGACTGCATCACAACGGGAGATTTAACTTTTTACCAATATAACAAATGGCACCTCCTCAAATAGCACTTTAACAGATGCCAATACATTTTCGCCAGCACAGAGAGAAAACAGCTACAAATTTACTATTTTTGCTTGCGTGGCACTCCAGTTCTTCATGCCAGCGTGGATTCGAGTCAACAGGGCGTGTGAAATGTCCCTCCTGCCCTTTTCCTCTCCACCCACGCAGCTGGCAATTTCGCCCCGTACTCCTGGCGGCCGCGGCAACTCGCGCGCCCAGTGTTGGCCACGCTGGTAGCCCCAGGCACCTGCAGCGCGGCACCTCATGCCCGGCGGCGGCGGTGCTCCGGCCAGGCGGTGGCGCTCTATTGCCCGCACCCTGGCCCGACGACGGTGCGCGCGCTCGCACCGTGCCTCGGCTGCTCGCGCCCTGGCGGTGCCCGACGAGCTTCGGATCAGTGGCTGCCTCCGCACCGGCGCTTGAGCTCATCCATGAACTCGTCGAAGCTGCGCCATGACGAGCCACCGGGCGCCCCGGCAGCCTCGAGTGTGCCCCTCAGCTTCTTCGCCTGCTCCCTGAACTTGACGCCGTCTTCCCCGCCCATCACCCCTTCGATCCGCGCCTTCACCTCGTCGGCGCGCACCGCGACGCGGTCCCCGATGGATACGCCGGCGCGCCACTCCCGCACGACGAGGCGCCGGTAGGTGATCTGGTCCGTGAGCAGCGGAAAGCACAGCATGGGCACGCCCGCCCACACGCTCTCCAGATGGAGTTCCAACCGCGATGCGTGAGGAAGCCACCGACGGCGGCGTGGGAGAGCACCTCCACTGGCAAAGACCACGGGACCACGAGCCCCGCCCGCCACAAGGCGCCGGTGAACCCTCGGGCAGCGGGTCCGAAGTCGTCGGAGCCGACGATGTCCGGGCGCATCACCCATAGGGAAGCGGGCGCCGCTGCGGGCCAGCGCCGCCGGCGATCTCGTGCAGCTCTGCTTGGTCACGGCGCATGTAGCTGCCGGGCGAGATGTAGAGTACGGAGCCGGGCGGCTACGCGTCCAGCCACCGGGAGCGGTCCGGACTCAACCCACATGGACGTGGCCACGCATCGCTGCGCGAACCCCGCCGGGAAGGTGGGCGACCCAGCGGGCGGTGGCGAGCGCGAAGGCGCTGCGTGACTGCGCCCCACGATGGCGGCCGCCAGGGGCTCTCGACGCAGGCTCGCCATGGCGGAGGCCCAACCACTTGAGCAGGTCCGAGCACATGCACAGGTCCATCACCGTGGGGTCCACGCCTCATCCTCGTACACCGCGTGCGCTCGCACCACGCTTGGCGAAGCTGCGCCCGGCTTCGGCTCCAGCTCCGCGAGCTCGCCGGGCGCAGGGGCGTCAGCGGTGGACCACCCCAGCAACCACGATCGATCTCCGCGCCTATCTCGTAGTTGGACCGGCATGGTGGTGGGTACGCAGTATGATCGAATCTGGGTGGGCGAGAGGAAGAGGTGGAGGAGTAGGGTAGGAGAGACATTTGACGCCCATATGCTGACTTGAATCCCTCTTGTCGCGAGGGCGGCGTGCCACGTAAGCAAACGTGGTATTTTTGTATCTGTTTTATGTCTTTGCTGGTGAAAATGTAGCGGCACCGTTGAGATGCTATTTGAGAAGGTGCCAATCTTTATAATGGTAAAAAGTTAAATCTCCCCCATCAAAACCCAGCTATGAACTAATAGCGTTGACGAGGCCTAGGCTGAGCCGATCGTTACAGGAACTGCATCAAGTGTCTCCAGCTTCCAATTGGCAAACCTCCCCAGATAGAAATGCGGGAGAGATGAGAATGACAAGAAGGGGAATGGGAAGGATTCTGCGCACCTGGCGAGAACACACACGCCGCGACGACGTGGAGGCAGGGCCTGTCGCCGGCCGGCGAACTTCCCGCGTTTCTCCAGATGCAGCTGCAACTGCAAACCTGCAATGCTTGGAGACAGAACAGGGGCTGGCCTGCTGAGGGCGTCGGCGGCCGCGGAGAGGTCCTCGTCCTCGCGGTCTGCGTGCTGCAATATTATACTCGCCGCCCCGGCGGCCCGGCCACGCTCTCTTTTTCTATTCTGCCCGTCAGGCCCAATTGGGAATCCGCGACGCCTCGTCCTCGCGCGGTCTGCGTGCTGCAATATTATACTCGCCGCCCCGGCCACGCTCTCTTTTCTATTCTGCCCGTCAGGCCCAATTGGGAATCCGCGCACGCCATGAATTTATTCTTTGGTTTCATTTGGTTTGCTTCTTTTCTTTCTTCTCTTTTTAATTATAAATGTTTTTTTACTTATTCTTTCGTGGAATACTCGTTTTGGCCAACTGCATGAATTTTACATAGTATAATGCATACTGTTTTTGTGCGACAAGATGCCACAAACTATGATTTGCAACAAAGTTATTATTATACAAATGATTTGTGCACAAAGTAACTCCCGGCAGGATGGAGTCCATATTTTCCAACAATCACTCTGAAGCACAATGCTCACCATAGGTGTATGATATCTGCGACCAGCAAGCAGCAATACTGACCGATCTTGACATTCTACAGTTTGCAACCAATACTGTATATAAACCAAGGGTGGCTCACGCTGTGCTCGCAAAGGTGAATCCAGTCCCTTGTAATGCATCCTCAATAACCTTGTCTATCCTCTGCGCCATCTCTCGCGTCATGTGATTGCTCCGGTCCTCAGAAATCCCCTTCCTGAAGCTTTCATTCTTGATTCCCCACCTAGAGCTTCTGTTTCTGTTCACCTCCACGTCCTTCAACTTGCCCAGGCTACACAGCTCCACGATGGCATTAACCACCCCTCCCTCCTCCTTTTTCTCAGAAAACTCACGACCCATGAACTTTGCTAGCTTCTTGACGTGACTCTCTGGCTCAAGTAGCATCTCCTCGTATCTAAGGAACAGTACCCTGAAAAGGCCTCCTCACACTCTCCTCCCAGTACTGGAGGACATGC